AGTAATAATACGCACCTGATATATGAATGCCATGACCATGGAAAGCATATTAGCAATGCATAAAAGCCTGAGCTCTGGAGATGAAAAGTATGCGCCAACAAAATCCGCGAGAAAGTTGGTCAAACATGAGATCAGGATGGCGGGACCTACTTCGGAAAGCACCTGTAGAGGAGTGCGGCGCACAAGTGAATACTATTTTATCTCGATACTAAAAGATGATGAAATTCTTGAACAAACTGCTGACATACTTCGCTCAAGCGTTCTCCCACACTATCTTTTCTCCTGGGCGATTCGCGTCTTTGTTCCGTGACTCTCTGCCATTCATGTATCATTAGGTATGAGGAGTCCACACCTTAAAACGCAGTGTCCTTCCCAGTTTTAATCTGAGTTTTCGGAAGAAAACGAGTGACGATAAGAAATTTCTTTTGCGTGCTTTGGTGAACTTAAGGAGAGCGAAGAACACATAGCCAGCAAGGTCGTCTCATTTGTTGAGTGCAAGCAAAATCTGTTAGCGAAGGCAATGCTTACCAAAGGTGCCAATTAAATTTAATTTCACGCAAGAGACTGAGAAAAAAATGTGATTTATCTTCGGATGCCTTGTTTATTTCATTCTGAGAGGTCCTCAAAAAATCCAAATTTACCTATAGAAAGCGCTAGAAATGGAACGACGCATAATAGCGAAGCAAATCGTACTCCACATAAGAACATTCCAGCAAGTGCTGTAGCACACGCTAATAGCGGTGTGAGACAGGCCATGATAGCCAAAGCTGTCTGAAAATAGAGAGATGGCCCAAATGTGCTGAAATGTCGCTCTACTCACCTTGTACAAGTTTTGTTGGTGTTTATAATACGCTCTACTCATCACTGATACTATACTGCACGCGCACATAATTACAAAGCCAACGCTCAAGTATGGAATCATAATCCTTGCACCTCTCACCATTTCGTCCTCCACATAAGACTGCGAATAAGCAAACACTTTGACAAGGTCGGAAAAATTTCTGCAAATGCTTTACATGATGCGTTTGCCAGATAAACTTTGTATCAAGCTCAAAAATGTCCAACCCTTGGAAAACCTCGGTCATCTTCATCTCCCACTGTTTGACATCTGCGTCGGTCCAGCCAGGCTTATGCAAGGCTCGGAATTGCATGACAAACATTTTCACAGATTTGATGTTGGTG